CGACCTCGACCCTCCCTCCCGCCCCCGGACCCCAAGCTCGTGCGATCTGAAAGTCCATGTGCCTTGTTCTTGTCGGTGTCCCCGAGGGTGGGTCGCTCGTGGGGGTCGTACGTGCTATCAGGGCAGTTCGAGCGACGTGCGTCTGGAACCAGCACGCACAGGTCAACTCTATTGATCAGCATTGCGTGCTATGTGCTCGTCCCCCAAGGTGAGCGAACGACAGAAACCTGGGGAGCGAGCCAGGGTCTGGGCGGCCTGGGGAGGGAAGGAGGGGAACGGGACAGATCAGAGGAGGAACAACATACACAGCAAGCGTGGAGGAGGGAGGAATGGTCCACCCGTCCCCTCCACCCTGGCGCGGTGGGGGAGCTCCTGCGACGCACTCCTCCAGCTCCAGCCCCGTGACCAAGTGCGCGGCGAGGCACTGGCGTGCGGGAGACTCGCTAGCAAGCCCTCAGAGGGCAACCGCAATGAGCTGGTCGGAACCGTGAGCGCACCCATCGGGAACCCCACCGCCAGAAGCCGGGCCGGGACTCCCTCGGACCCTGGCGTCGTGAAAAACACGGCGGGCGTTTATGCCCCGCTTCGACCCCTGGGACCCCAGCGGAATGATCAGGCTGAGGACGCCGCACATGGACATTCAAGCCGAACCACGTCTACCTTTAGGTCGGGCATGTCCTCCTACACGCGGATTTGGGGGGAAGAACATAACAAATAGTCAAACACATTAAAAAACAGTCAAAGAGCACGAACAATCGTCAACCAGAGCATGTGTTTACCATTCTTGAATATTCCTCTCGCAGAGGGACTTGCCCGACTTACATTCGCGCCAGGAACTCCGTCTTGATGCGCCGCGAGGCGTCCGACTCCGACTCACCGCGGGCTCCGCAGAGTGAGTCCACCTCTGGAAGCCGCCCAAAGTGGGGTTTGAGCACGTACCCTGAGATCCGACGTTGCAAAAAATGCATCGCAAAAAATCACGACTGGACCCCCAGACCCCATTTTCTGACTCATCTTTCGGGTTGGATCAATCTGTGAGGGCCCCAGAATCCCCGGTTCGACTCAAGTCTGCCCTGCATTGCCATCGCCCGAGCCATCACGCATCATCGATGGCATGCGGGGCCTCTCCCCCCCCCGCACTCTCCAGCACTGGCGGCGGACAGCCCTGCTGAGGAGCCATCCAGTGCACCTAATGGCACGCGGGGCCCCGGAGATCATCACGGCACACGATGATGACAAGAAGCTCTCAAACTGTGATTGCGCAATTGTTCCGCCTGGCTCTAGGACGTGCCCTGCGACTTCTAGATTCGAGCCTGCCTCGGTGGCTATGTTTCGCAACGCATTCATGCACTGATGCGTAGATGCATACCTTCACACCTGCAGCAACTCATGCAGACCATGTGAAATCACGAGCTGCAGTGGCAACGATACTCGGCTCAAGCGTGATAGTATGATACAAACTCAAGTGTGATAAGAAAAACAAGCTCGGGCTTGTTGTCACACTTGAGCCGATTGAACAGGGGGTTGAAAAGGGCCTTTGCTGGCGGGGGGCTCGCGTGCACAGGAAACTCGGGGCATCGGAATTTCCCCGACTTGAGTGGCGACCACATGCCAAATGACGCCTAAAAATAGGGGGCGGGAGCTGCGGTCGCGACTTTTCACGACGTAATATTCTTCACGACGCCAGATCCGAAGCTCCGCGCATGGGACCGAAGCGAACAGGCACATCGGAAAGTCTGGGTGACGAGCTGCCGAGTTGTGACAATAAACCCTTCTTCAGGGCGCCGCGGGGAGGCGCCGAGGCGCCGCTGCTTGCCTGCCCAGCGGAAGGGCGCAGCGGAGGGCGCCGTGGAGGCGGAGGGTTTCAGTTCCGCTTCCTCCGCATCCGACGCCTCCTCCTCCTCCTCCTCCTCCTTGCTGCAGCCTCTTCCCACCTCCTCTTCCAGCCTCCTCCTTCCACCCCTGCGGCATTCCTCCAGCGGGCCGCGCGGCGCCACTTGGGCACCGCGCGGCCCCTCCGGGGTCAGCCCCCACCCCCCCTGTGCAAAAAGCACGCTGGGTGGGAGGCGCCCAGCACGAGGGGACTAGTTCTGTGCGGTTCCGAGCGTTCCTGACCCCACGGCGGCTACAACAAGCCACGGGCAGAATAACAAGGAATGACACGCAATTGCGCCCACGAAGAGCAGCCCCCCTGGGAAGACTTGCGAAGCATCGCCCCCGCAAGCGTGGATAGGACTGAGGCGGCTGTTCTGAGCTCGTGCAAGGACAGCCGAAACAAGGTCCCGCCGAAGGCGGTGCTCTCTCCCGAAGAAGCCTGCAGAACCACCCGCCCATAAGGCAAGGGTTGCCAGCATGGATGCCAGCGAGTGGAATGCTGCACCCTCGGTGTGTGAGCGTTGAGGTACAATGTGTATGTATGTGTGTATATATATGGTGCACGCTAGGTGGTGCAGTCTGTGTGGTGCAGACTTTGTGGCGCAGTCAATGCGACGCATCATGTAGGTTGGTGTGGTGCACAGAAAAACTTATGCGTGGTGGCCTTTGCGTAGTGCCAACATGTGCTGCACAACATATGCACTGCACACGAAATGGTGCAACCTGCGTGATGCGGTATGTGTGGTCCAATTTATGTGGTGCAGTACAGATGGTGTAAACTATGTGGTGCAGGCTTTACCGTACAAGCCCAGCTGGTGCAAGCTATTCCGTGCAAGGCATCTGGCGTAAGCTATGTGGTGTGAACCCTGCGGTTTAGTCTATGTCGTCAAAGCTACGCGGTGATAGTTGCGCGGTGGAAGCTGTGTGGTGCAAGCTATGTCGCGTGCGTCACCAAGTCAGTCGTGCACTGCCGACTCCACTGCTCGCGCAGCCATCCCACCTTCCTATCCGCAGCTTGTTTTGCAAAACCCATGCGGCCGCGTTCAGATTCTTGTCACTGGCTGGCGCATGTCTGCGGCAGCGCTGGCGCGGGCACCCTCGCGCGCAGTAGCTGGTCTGGCACAACTCATGCGGCCACGACGGCGCTTACCGATGGACACGTCCCACCGCGTCTCAAGGGCCGCGCTGGCGCGCGGGCAATTCGGTGCGGGCCTGTGACTCGTGCGGGCGCGATTGCATGACGACGTCGACAACGGCGGCAACGATGATGATAGTAGCGATGGTGGTAGCGATGATGACGATGCGGGCGGCAAAGCCAACGACGGCGATGCTGGTGAAGATGACGACGACGATGATGATGTCCACGTGCCGGTGATGAAGATGGTTGACTGATGATGGCGGCAATAACGGCGATTGACGATCACGATAACGCTGGCAATGCGATGGCGCTGATAGGGATGATGGTGAGGAAGTGCGCGCGGGCAACCCCTGTGCTGGGAAACAATTGGCTTTCCCATGTTGTTGGGGAGTTCTACTTTCACATGCTTAGGCAACTAATGGCATTGGAAGTGTTGTGGCCCGCAAGGCATTCTGTGATACGGATTCGTCGGATTTGTGCAATCGGTGCATGCTGGATCAACGCAGATGCCCCGCGTGGTGGGATGAGGAAGCGGGTACTGGACGAGCTTGCAAGAATCATTGGCTTGTCTTAGAATGTTGGCAAATGCGCGCGGGCAGAACATCTGCAAGGTTCCGAATCAAAAACTAACGGGTGCTTGCTGCTTATATGTCAACATGCTTGCAGATAAAATGTTCTGCTTTCGACATGGTATTATTTGATAAGGATAGAAAGGGGATCGATGGCGGTCTGGCTGGGATGGTGCGCTTTTACATGGATAATGAACAATGAAGCAGAACCAGTTGTAACTTGCCGTGTCCGACGACCTTGCTTTCAAAGGAGAACCTACCTGATGCCTATGTGGTGCAGGCTCTGTGCACAGGATGGGGTGCCTTTCGAGGAACCCGAGACCGGCCACGGGCGGCAACGTGACAAGACAACGGCAGACTCATCCAGCACACGAAGCGCACACGAGACGGCAACGGGCGCTAACGGGAGGCGGCGCGGAGACACCTCGGCACGCCTCGTCCGCCCACGAAGCGCCCACGCGGCGAAACCTCGGCAAGCCCGCCCCCCTCCTGAGGCAACGCGAGGACGACTCTCGGCGATGGACAAACCTCCCTTTAGTGGACCTCCCCTTAGGGAAAGCGGCCTGGGACCGAAACCGACGGACCTGGACCCGCAAAAAATGACGGCCGCGACGCCCTCTCGCGAACCGAGGACGGCCAATTCCTTAATCGACGTGTCAGGGTAGGAGGTCTGTCCATCCCCGAGACTCCCGAAGTGCAGGCACTGCCCGGGGCAGGGGCGAGGGAGAGCAGGGGAGAGGGAGGGTGCAGGACCGCAGGGCAGGGCAGGCGCGAGGAGCCGGGAGGCGAGCGGGCGAGGGCAAAAAGGGGGAGGAGGAGGAGGAGGAGGAGGAGGAGGAGGAGGAGGAGGAGGAGGAGGAGGAGGACGAGGGGGTGGAGGAGGAGGAGGAGGAGGAGGAGGCTGCAGCCGCGGAGCTCCACCCCCCCCCCACGGCGGTCCGCCGGCGCGCGGCGAGGCACGATGCAGACTCTGTGGACGAAGGGGCCCAGGGACACACAAACAAACACACACACACAAATCCCAGGATGCCCCATATGTTTCCACACTTTTGTGTGTTGGATGTTTTCGTCTTCCCCCCACTTCCCATGCTTTCGCGCATGTTCCTGGGAGTCGACGATGAATTGTGTCTGTGTGCTGTTTCTCCTCCTGAGTCGATCGCGCAGGTCAGGTCAGCATGGCCGGGAACTTCTGGACAGCGTGTCGCCATGGCGGCACCAGCGACACGGTATGCCTCACGAGTGGATACCGCTCCGCTCCGCGGGGCGGGAGGCTCGGGAAGGCTCGGGGCACTGACGCTTCGGGACCGCGGAGTGGATAATGTGTGTCGCTCCGAAGCGCGGTGGGCCAAATCCGGCGCAACGACACGCTAAGCCAAAATTCCCGACCGTAGGGAGGGGAAGTCAGCCGCGCGCGGGGCCTTCCGCGTCGCGCGCCACCCGAACGTCACCCTCGCCGGCGCCGCGTTGCCCCGCAGCGCCTCCACCAGCTGCGCACCTACAGTGCGGCTGCAGGCCGACGGCGACGGCGGCGGCGAGGGCGACGAGGAGGACCACAACGACGGCGAGAACGCGGACGACGACGCCAACGACATAGACGCCGACAGCGACAAGGACGATGAGGAGGAGCAGGAAGACGAATGGAGAAAGAAGGGGGAGGCGGACGATGCAGGGTGGGCAGCCGCAGCAGTGACGACATGGCTGGCCAGGAATAACCCTCCCGATCAAAACCCATCTGTGCGAATCAAGAAATTGGAGTTGGTGGTAGCCGTGATATTGTCTCGGGGTGAAGACTGATAAGGTTTTGGGGAACTAGCAAATGATGTGTGCAATTAGGGAGGAGCTGTGGTACAAGTGAGCAGTAGCACTTGGCGCAATCCCTACGCGCACGGGATGACTGTATTGTGGCGGTGAGGAGGCTACCATATGTTATCATATAGGTGTGATGAATTCTCGAGTAAGCCTGGAAGCATAAATGCTGGAAAGAAAAACGTGACGTGCCAGGGGAACAAGGGCGCAAGGCCCCAACGGCATGCGATATGTTCCAAGAGTAGAGGCCTCCTAGATGGGGCCCGAGTAGATGGGGTCGGAGGATCGAGCCGCATCGCCGACGCCAGCGCGGAGAAATTCGGGCTCCACATCGAGCTACATCGCCGATGCATCGGCGATGCGGCGCGGTCCTCCGACCCCATGTACTCGGACCCCATCTCGGAGGCCTAGATCTGTTCAATCTTCCAGGAAGGGGGGGGCAAGCCAGAGGAGAGAGCGGAAGAGAGAGGGGGCACAGCAGCGGGGCCAATGCTCGCGAGCGCGGGAGCCAACCGAGAGCGTCGCACAGACCAGGGTCCCGCACAAGCATCACAAAGAGACGAGGTGGAGCGGAGGGAAGAAGAGGCAAATGGACGAAGTGGAGGGAAGGAGGTTGATGAAAGGCAAAAGCAAACGAGGTGAAGGGAAGGAGGCAAATGGACGAGGTGGAGGGAAGGAGGCAACTGGACGAGGTGGAGGGAAGGAGGCAGAAGGAACAAGACGAGCATCTCATAGAGACGAGGTGGAGGGAAAGAGGCAAGTGGAAGAAGAGATCAGCTGGAGCACTGTACATGTCGGCGGCGAGCCTGAGGGGAAGTAAGAAGGGGCGGGCCTTCTTAGAAGGCACGGAAATTCCCCGGCCTTCTGGAAAAAAATCTGGGCCCTCCCCGAAGACACCAGAACCTTTCCTGAAGGCCGGAGTGCTTCTGAGAAGTCCCGCCGCTTTCTGAGAAGGCCGTATCCTTCTTATTTCCCCCCCTCGCTCGCCGCCGAGCCCAGACATCTGGCCGCCCCAATTATTGTCGAAGCGTGGTCCCAGGAGGTCCTGACCACTTCCCTGGGGCCGGTTTATCGTCCTGAGCCGTTCTTTGACGGTCCCGAGGCCCAGCGAGGGCCCCTGGAGACCGAAAACGGCTCAAAACCGGCCGCTTCAAATTTTGTTTCGGAGCCTCGGATGTCTGGAAGCATGCCAAGACCGCGCTGACTGCGTGATTGGTTAAGGGTGCGATTGGGAATCATTTGTGTTACACCGAGCTCACGCAAAACAAAATGTAGGAAATCTCGAAACACCGTTTCCTGTATACATTTCAAATATGCAAAGGTATCGAAGGAAAACGACACAGCGAGCTGTAGGAAAACACAGAAACCACGCGTTCCTAAAACTATTTTGGCCGCGGACCACGCCTTCCTACAATTGGTTGTTCTACTTCGCTGTTAGCTAGCACACCGCCAGCGCGTCTAAGCGCATGGCGAGCTGTTGCTCTCATCGTACCTAAGGACCACATCCCATACATAATTTCGAGCACCCGGAAGAGTGTCCAAAGAGTGTCCAAGCAGTGTCGAAGGAGTGTCTCCCAGGGCCCGACACGTGAAAACCCTTGAGTCTTGAAGTACTGTTCTGGCGCTCAAAATTCTTTCTGGCGGTCAAGGCCTTTGTGGGCCCTGGAAACGGCAGGGCCGTTTTGTTACCGTTGCCCAAAAAATGTCCCTTGAAAATGGAAACGGCAAAAAACGGCGACCGGAAACGGCAAAAAAACGCCGGAACCGGTCAAACAACGGCGACGGAACTGGTAAAAAAACGGCGTCGGAACCGGCAAAAAAACGGCAGAACGGAACCGGTAAAAAAACGGCCCTGTCGTTTCCAGGGCCCACTAAGGTCAAGGCTACAGCAGGTTGGAACATCATAAAGCTGGGCACGGAAAGCACCCGACCGGTGCCACGTCGTGGCAGCCTCGCGCCGCGAGCGGCCCTGCCCACGGCGGCGAGGCGGCAGGCCCGGCCCGGTGGCCGGGGCTGGGCGCCGCCGCTGGCCGCGCGGGGGCCGGCAGGCGTGTTCCATGGGCTCCAATTGCACGGTTTCCCCCGGGGCCGTAGGCGACCCGACGAGGAGGAGGAGGAGGAGGAGGAGGAGGAGGAGGAGGAGGATGAGGAGGAGGAGGAGGAGGGGGAGGAGTAGGAGGAGGGGAGGAGGAGGGGGAGGAGGAGGAGGAGGAGGCGGAGGAGGAGGAGGAGGAGGGAGGAGATGGAGGAGGGGGAGGAGGATGAGGAAGAGGGGGAGGAAGAGGAGGAAGAAGAGGAGGAGGAGGACGGGTCGCCTGAGCCCTTCGGAGAAACCCTCCATCTTCAACAAGCCCCCAGCTCGCCTGTTTAAGCTTACAGGCAGCTCCAAAAACAGCAAGCATGTTTAAAAACAAAGAAATTACCATTCTGGGCTTTCGCGCACATCTTGCAGCCCCGGGGGGGGGCAAAAGAAAACTAGGCTTAAAAGAAAGGGTGCCACGGCGCAGAATAAAACAAAACAAGCTTGTGTCTAGCAGGTATGAAGCACAACGAAGATGAGGGGCGACAATGAGGAAGAGGGGTGAGCAACTCCGGTGTGGACGCAGCTGAATCGAGTCGCGGCGATGTAGGCAGGATGAGGTGTCTGCCGAATTACTGTCACCCTCCTCAGACTCTTGTCGCCCCTCCTGCTTCAGCTGCGGCGAAGGGCCACTCCTACGTACGCATAGCCGATGCGCCCTCTCCTGCATGTACTGGTGAACAACTACGGGCCGAAACGCAGCTGGACATATTGCCGTGCAGCACGGGCAACACGCATTGACCATACCTGCGACCTGCGACGTCATGTGTGACTGCAGTACTAGGCATACAAATTCTGAGGGTGGCATGTGCAGTGTGTGTGTGTGTGTGTGTGCGTGAGTGGTACATGTGTGAAAAGGACCTGGACGATCAACTTTCTTCACGCTCCCACACAATATGACATGGTACGTTGAGATTGACCGTATTTCGGAATCGGCTGACTGCATTCACCAGCCTGCTGGATGAAGAAAGTGTGTGTGTGTGTGTGTGCGCTTGTGCGCACAACCAGCGGTAGCAACACATACAGCAACAACAGAGCCCTACAGCAGGTTGATCGTCTATAGAGGGAGAGAGAGAGAGAGAGAGAGAGAGAGAGAACAACATACAAAAAAACAAGAAAGAGAGCGAGAGCAACTGTTTAGCGAGCGGGTTCAGTCGACCAGTAACGTGTCCCAGTGGTTCGGCATGGAAACGATAGCGGACTGGAACTGCCATGGTACACTCGCGTTCACCAACACATGTGGGGCCGCTAAGGCGCAGGCTAGATTGAATAACATTTCCATCTGGCAACGCCATGCTGCATATCACCATGCCCTTGCACACCTCGGCGCTGAGATGATGTCCGTTCCGATGGCAAGGAGAGGGTCAACCACAGCACGAGAAGGCAAACTTCCGCAGACCTCCGACGTCCTGGGTGCTCCTGTTTGTGCTCCTGGAACTCCAGAGCCACTCTTTCCCGTGGATCCGGCGTTATGGGCTGCTGCTTGTGCGCTCGCGGTCCCGAAAAGGGCCAGCATGGATCCAGGCTTGAGGGAACGAACAAACACACACTGTGGGGGAAAAAACACACACTGTGGGAAAAAACACACAAAACTGGGAAAAGTGTGTGTGTGTGTGTGTGTGTGTGTGTGTGTGTGTGTGTGTGTGTGTGTGTGTGTGTGTGTCTGTCTCTGTGTGCTTTTTGTGTTTTTTCCCGCTGCCGTCAGGACACCCGAGGTCTGGGCCCCTTGCAGGCACGGCGGACGGCCCGCCAGGCTGGGCGGGCAGGGGCAGGAACGCCGACGAGGAGGGGAGCGCGCCGTGAGCGCGCAGAGGCAGGGCACGGAGGGTGAGGAGGGAAAGGGGGAGCGAGGGTGGGCGTGCAAGAGCGAGCAAGAAGATCCGGAGGCTCCCCTCCTCCCGCCTCCTTTGCTCTCCCCTGGCCCTCCTGACCCGTCCTCCTCCTCGTCCCCTCCTCCTCCTCCTCCTCCTCCTCCTCCTCCTCCTTGCAACCCCACCCATCCCTGATCCCCTTCCAATTCTTCCCCCTTCCGCTCCCTAGTCCTTCCTCCCCCGCCCTTCGTACCTTCCCCCCTTCTCCCCTGGAGCGGGCAGAGGGAAGGAAGAAGGGAGGGGGGGGAGGGAGGAGGGAGTAGAAGGGGCGGGGGAGGAATGCAAAGCAGACAGGGGAGGGAGACATGGAGGTAAGGAGGATACCAGATGGACCGTGCTGCCAAGCACGACCCCGGGAGAGTGAGGAGAGTGGGGCGAGGGGGCCGTGCTGCCAGGCACGCGCCCGTGCGCTGCCGAGATCCTGGACGGGAAACGCGAAGAGAGATTCCGAGAGACGCTCTTCGGGTGTTGCTCAAAGTGCCCCTTGCCCAAGGTGCCCCCAGGATTTCTGGGAGGCCCCCACACCAAACAGACCCCAAAGAGGCCCCAGAGGTCCCCAAGAAGCCTGCAAAGAGGCCCCCAAGACACCACCAAGGTGCCCCGAGAAACCACCAAGAGGCCCGCAGGACTGCACACTAACAGCGCGCCGTTGCTGTGCTCATCTCTGCTTCGCGTTGCCTTGTGCTAGCATGTGGCGAATGCTCGGTGCCTCCGTGGACATTCGCGCGCTCGTCCCAGCGCTGAAACGGGGGGGTGGGGCGTCCGCCCCTCGCGGCGCTGACAGCGCCCCGGGGGGGGCAGAACGAGGCGGCAGACCAGCGCGGCAGACCAGCAAAGTAAACCATCTTTGCGCGCTCTGGACGTGCACCCCCCGCGAGGCGAGAGGAATCCACGTCAGGAAGTGACGTGCTGAGCGGCAGCGCCTTCAGCGAAAGCTAGAATGCAACGCATCCAACGCATACCAGTACTGCGTAGTGGCTACATGTTGTGTGATTTTATATCATTATGTACCTCCCCCCTCCCATCCCACCCAGAAGTCACCCCAGCTACATCAACCAAGCGTGGTGAAACCTCTCTGGGCTTCAAAACCTTACAACAACCAAGACAAACAGTATGAGTTGGGCCTCTTTGAGTCTCTTGGGGGTCCAGGAGGGCCTGAGAACGGCTCAAGATGACATCGAGACGGGCCAAGACGGCGCAAAGAGGGCCCAAGATGGCCCAAGAGGGCCAAACGGCGGCCCAAAATGGCCCCGAGAGAAGCCCCAAAGATGGCCAATGGAGGCAAAACAAAATGATGTGCTAAGGCTTGTGAACGCTTGTCACGCTCAAGCCCTGTCTTGACATTCGAAAACCATGAAAACCCCAGCGGCCTCCAAGATGGCCCCAAAACAACCCCAGAGGCCCCAAATACGGCCTCAGCACGGCCCCAGGGGGCCCCAAGATGGTCCAAAAAGGCCCCCCCAAACAGTCCGAGACGCCCCAAAAGCCCAAGAGGACCCCAAGAGGGCCCCCAGGCAGCGCCGAGGAGCCCCTAAGACGGCCTCCGAAGGAGCCAGATGGCGCAAGAGGGCCCAACACAGCCTCAGAGGGTCCCAAGAGGCCCCAAGAGGCCCAAAAAGGGCTTCCAAGAGGCTCCCAGGGGCTCCCAAGAAGACTCCAAGAAACCCCCAACCAGCCCCAAGAAACCACCAAGAGGCCCGCGGACTTGGATCCAAATGGCGCGTCGCTGCTATGCTAGTCGAAATGTCAACTTGGCCTTGCCTTGTGCTGACACGCGGTGGATGCTCATTGCCCTCGTGGACATTCGCACGCTCGCCCCAACGTTGAAACGGGGGCGCGGGCGCATCCGCCCCCCGTTGCGCCGGCAGCGCCCCGGGGCGGACGGAACGAGACGGCAGACCAGCGCGCCAGACGAGTAGGGCGAACCGCCCCCCGCCCACGCTTGACGTGCTCCCCACGAAGCGAGAGGAATCCACGTCCGGAGGTGACGTGCTGTGCGGCAGCATTCTCTGGCGATCGCCTTCATGCAACGCATCCTATAGATCCAATATTGCATAATTGCTATTCTGTCTCCCTCCCTACCCCCCCCCCTCCGGACCACCTCACATGCGTCGACCCAAAGACGGCGGACCCCCCTCAGGGTCGAAAACCTACAAAACCGATGGACATCTAAGATTTGAGCCCCTTGGGCCTCTCCGGGGCCTAAGAAGACGCCAGGACGGCTCAAGATAGCCTCAATACGGGCCAGGACTACTCCAAGACAGTCCAAGATGGCGCGAAGCCTCCGGAAGCCAAAATCAATTATTTCCTATGGGTTTGGGACGATTTGTCAGGTGGCGGCCCAAGCAGCCTCCAGAACTGCCCCAAGACGCCCCAAGAAGCCCCCAAGAGGGCCCAGAGATGGCCCAGGACGGCCCCAGGATGGCCCAAAGAGGCCCCTAAAGCCGCCCAGTAGGCCCCCAAGACGGCTCAAGAGGACCCCAGGAGAGCCCCAAGGCGGCCGCGAGAGGCACCCAAGAAGGCTCCGAAGGGGCCAGTCGGCGCAAGAGCGCCCAAAGACGGCCCAATACGCCCTTAAGAATCCCAAAGACGCCCCAAATAGACCCCAAAGAGGCCCCCAGAGGCCCCGAAGAAGCCTCCAAGAGGCCCCCCAGCGGCCCCCGAAACTGCCAGGAGGCCCCTGACATTGTATACGAATGGCGCGCCGTTGCTGTGATCATCTCTGCTTCGCGTTGCCTCGTGCTGACGCGTGGCGAATGCTCAGCACCTTCGTGGACACTCGCACGCTCGCCCTGGCGCTGAAACGGGGGGAGCGCGCAGGCGACCCTCGTGGCGCTGGAAACGCCCCGAGGCGGGCAGAACGAGACGGCGTACCAGCGCGGCAGACCATTCGACGCCAAGTCTTGACGTGCTCCAGACGTGCACCCCGCGAAGAGAGAAGAATCCCACATTCAGACTCAATCACACGTGTCCTCACTCATGTACAGACCACACTCATACTCTCATACTCGGCTTAGTCGTCATGCTCAGACCCACTCATTGTCAGGGTCACTGACACTCAGACGAACTCACGCCCGACGTGGCAAGTGTGACATTACCCGCATTCACATTCAGTCTCACTCGGAATCATTCATGTTCACACTAGCTCGCACCATACGTAGCAGGCATGGCACTTGGGCACCCCAAGGGGGAGCCGCCAGGGGTGTGACACTTGCCCGTTCGCGGTCAGATTGCGGGGATGTCTCAGGCGGTGTGGTGTTTCGGACCCCGAATAAACACATCTGTTTTGCATGCTCCATGGGAGCGGTAATGTAGCAAGCGTAATGGTTGGGTGCCCAAAAGAGGAGCCGTCAGGGGGTATGACAAGTGTCCGCTCTCGAGCTGATTGTTGGGATGCCTCCAACGGTTTGCTGTTTCCAGACCCCACTCTAGGTCTCCGGCGGTTTGCTGCTGTTGCCCCCAGGTTCCTCTCTGTTGAACTCCCCGTGATCAGAGTGACTTAGCAGGTGTCCCTTGGCCACCCCAAGGAGGAACCACCAGGGGGTATGACACTTGCCTGTTCGCGTCCAGCCTGTGGTGGTGTGTCAAAATTCGTGAAACTCCTTGCTTTTGAATGCTTCATGGAAGCGTTGATGTAGCAGGCGTGACATTTGAGAACAACAAAGAGGTGCCCCCAGGGGTTATGACAATTGTTCACTCTCGCGCTGATGGTTGGGATGCCTCCAGCGGGTTGCTGACTTTGTCCCCCAGACCCCACTCTATGTCTCCGGCGGTTTGCTGCTGTTGCCCCCAGGCTCCTCTCTGTTGAAAGCCCCGTGACCACAGTGGTATAACAGGCGTCGCACTTGGCCACCCCAAGGAGGAACCACCAGGGGGTATGACACTTGCCTGTTCGCGGCCAACCTTGGGGGATGCGTCAAGTCGGTGCTCGTTCGGTGGACCAGACTCCTGGCTTTTGAGGGCCTCATGGCCACTTCGGTGTAGCAGGCGAAGCACTTGGGCCCCCAAAGGAGAAGCCGCCAGGGATATGACTCTTGCCCATTCGCACCCAGCTGGTGGGGATGTCTCAGGCGGTTTGCTTGTTCGGTGGACCAGACTCTTTTCTTTTGAAGGCCTGATGGCCACCTCGGTGTAGCAGGCGAAGCACTTGGGCCCCCAAAGGAGAAGCCGCCAGGGATCTGACTCTTGCCCATTCGCGCACAGCTTATGGTGATGTCTGGCGGTTTGCTCGTTCGGTGGATCAGACTCTGTGCATCTGTGGGCTTTGTGGACACCTCGGAGTAGCAGGCGAAGCACTTGAGCCCCACCAGGGAGAAGCTGCCAGGGATATGACTCCTGCCCGTTCGCGCACAACTTATGGGGATGTCTCAGGCGGTTTTTGCTCGCTCGGTGGACCAAACCCTGCGCTTTTGAAAGCCTCAAGCCCCCGTGACCTAGCAGGCGCGGCATGTGACGGCCCAAAGGAGGGAGGCGCACCCAGAGGGGCACACTTGCCCATTCGCGGCCAACTTGCGTGGATGTCTCGTGCGGTTCATTCGTGTGGCGTCCCCGCGCCTCCTTCCTTTCTCCTCCTTCCTTCCTTGCCGCCTGCTGCCCTGTATTCATATTCAGATCCACGCAGACGCAGTTCAGTCATACTCAGACCTGTGCGCACAGACCACTCACACAATGCTCATGCACTCTCAGACTCAACCTCACTCAATCCACTCACCCTAATATTCCTCGCATTCAGACCGCACGCAGTTAGATTCACTGGTACTGTGGCGCCCCCATACTCAGACTCACTCGTACGCAGACTCGCTAGTACTTAGGCGTACCCACGCTCAGAGTCACTCGCACTCAAACCCGCTCACAATCAGACTCACCACGCTCAAGGCAATCCCTGTCAGAAGATTCACTTAAGCGTCGCGCATGTGAACCCCAAGGGGGAGCCACCAAAAAATGGTACATTCGCCCGTTCGCGACGAACTTGTGGGGACGTTTCAAGCAAAACGCTGGTGTTGGCACCGCCGACCCCTTTCCTTTCAGAGCCCTTTGAACATCGCGATGTAGCCGGCATGCTCGGGCACACCGAGGCGGAGCCGCCGGGGAACGCTCAGTCGTCACAGGCTCAGACTTATAAATGACGACACTTGTCGATCTCACGATCGATCTCACTATCGATCTCACTCAACGGGACACCACGGGACACCACGGGCCACCACGGGACACCACGGGACACCGCGGGACATCTCTCCCTCTCACTATCGGTCTCACTATCGATCTCACTATCGATCTCACTCAACGGGACACCATAGGAAACCACGGGACACCACGGGACACCTCGGAACACCACATCGATCCCACTATCGCTCTCACTATCAATCTCACTCAACGGGAACCCACGGGACACCGCGGGACACCACGGGACACCTGTCGATCTCACTGTCGATCTCACTATCGATCTCACTTTCTTGGACACCACGGGACACCACGGGACACTTTTGGATCTCACCATTGATCCCACTATCGATATCACTTTTTGGGACGCCACGGGACACCTCGGGGCACTACATCGATATCACTATCGATCTCACTATCGACTTCACTATCGATCTCACTCAACGGGACACCACGGGACACCACGGGACACCGCGGGACACCGCGAGCCACCGCCGGACGGACGGACGGACGGACTGGCGGGGGAGAATCATTTGTCTTGACTTCGCCCTAGCAACGGCTGACACCGCGGGACATCCGTCACGGGACACCGCGGGACACCGCGAGCCACCGCCAGACGGACGGACGGGCGGGCGGGGGAGAATCATCTGTCTTGACTTCGCCCTAGCAACGGCGGACACCACGGGACACCACGGGACACCACGGGACACCGCGGGACACCGCGGGCCACCGCCAGGCGGACGGACGGGCGGACGGGGGAGAATCATTTGTCATGACTTCGCCCGAGCAGCGGCGGGTTCATTCCTCTCGCGCGCCCACGCAGCTTCGCCTCGCCCGCATGCACGACACGAACGAAACGAAACGATTTCCCGGTTGGGGGTCTCGGTTCCACTGCGATCTCACCCCCCAACCTCCGATGATCATCATTCTCCTCCTCTGTCTCCTCTTTTTCTGCCTCCGCCACTCTGTGTCCCCTCTTCCGCGGCTACTCATCTTGCTATTCCCCCTCATCATGCCCCTCCCCTTCCACTCATCCAAGTCTTCCCCCTGCCCTCGATCATATGATTCCTCGTCCTCCTTTCCTCCCCAGCCTCCACATCCTCCCCTGCTCATTCTCATCCTCCTCCCCATCCTCCTTGCCGTCCTCCCCCTCCTGCTCCTCATGACAAGTCATCATTCTCCTGATAATGCCTCCCTTGCTCCTGCTCCCATCTCCACTTTGGCCTCATCGCTCACTCTTTTTCGTACTCGCTGTCTCACTGCCACTCCCTGTGGCGGATTGCCGCTCCTTGTGCATCATCGCCCTGCTGCTCAGCTTCACCTCGCGAATGACAATGTGGCTCTGCTCCTGGCGATCGCTAAATCTCACAAAACTCCTCGGCGGAGGCTTCAACCTCAACCGTGGAATGCGCACTCCATCCGCCCGGGGCGCCGCCCTTCCATCATCCGCAATCCGGGCGCAACGCTGTGCAGCCACTTGCTGGACTGCCGTCTTTAGGGAAACCAACAGGTACCGATACCGCTGCTCCCCGGGCCTCTCCCTGGGTGCGTTCTGACCAGGATTTCGAGGCGAATCCAGCGGTGGCGACGAGGGCCTCCCAGGAGGCCCCCAAAATGGAAAACGGGCGAAGGGTAGAGGTATGGGTCCCTTTTCCTCCTCCGAGTCTTACTGATGCCTCTCGTCTTCTGCATCTCGTGCTGTCTCTACAGTCCTGTCTCCCGCGTGTTGTCTTCCGAGGGTGCGCCGAGCCTCCAAGCTCGCACCCCTGCGAAGGGGGCCCGAGGCCGTTTCAGGTTGCCCCAGGATTCCTACAAGGCCTCCAGGGCTTGTAGTTGTGGTTGTTACTGCCAACGTGGCCTGAGAACGTCGCCGCGCCGATGCACGAGGAGCCTCCGAGATGTCTGCGGAGGAGCCAAGGGGGACTGCATGACACCCCACAGAGGCCATGGTACAAAGGCTGCAAGCTCAAACTCTTTCCTGAAGAAGGCGTTCAGAGCTTCAAAGAGCCCCCCGACACGATCCCGAGAGACTTCCACCACGCCGAAGAGCGTCCGAAGACGGCCACCGGGGGCCTCAAGACGGCGCAGTCTGCCCCGACGACGGACCAAGAGAGCCCCACGATGCCCCAGAGACTGCCCAGCATGACCCCAAACAAGCCTGCTGGCAGCCGAAGAAGGAGCCATGAAAGTCCCACGACGAACAGGAATAAGAGGGCGAAGAAGAGGACGATCATGCAACCGAGGATGGAGAGGAGCACGAGCAGCACCGTGAGCGAGGGCGGGCGCTCAGGGGAAGAGGAAGAGTAGGGGCTAGAAGACAACGGCGCCGACACGACACGAAGTGCGCGCCACACGCCGCGGCTCGCTGGTGATCCGACCCACGAGGCGGCCCAACACACAGCCCCTGATGGCGCAGCCCTTTCAGCTAGAGGTGTTTTCACGTTTCAGGGTCTCTGCGCAAGGCCGGCGATGCGGTCTGGGCTGCTGGGGCCGCACGCGCGGCAGCCACGCCGCTCCGCTGCGGAGGACGAGGACCAGGAGGTGCGGGCGGGGGGACGGGCGAGGAGAGGCGCAGGAAGGTGGCGAGCGCCAGCGCCCACGGCGCACTGGCTCCCAACGAAGGGCAGCACGATGTTGACCCGAGTGGCGGAAGAGGGGCAGGCACACATCTAGTCATCGATCTGACCATCAATACATCTAAAACTACACATATCGACAGATGTCCGTATATAGCTACACCAGAACCACGCGCGCGCTTCGCGCGCGCTGAGGTCCCAGCGAGCCGCGGTCTTCGACAACAACACAGCTGCACATGTACACGAACTTACGCAACTATGGAACAACAGGTGCGACGTCACTTGACGTCACTTAGAAAGACATCCTCAATCGGAGGTTGGGGGGGGAGTCCAACGTGGAACGGAGACCACCCAGACCGGGAAATCGATTTCGCTTTCGGGTTCGTGTCGTGCGTGCCGTGCGTGCGTGCGTGCGGGCGAGGCGAAGCTGCGTGGGCGGGCGAGAGGAAATCCTTCTGTGGCTGGGCCGCGGCTTGACCAAATGATTCCGCCCCTGCGGCCGGTGGCCCGTGGTGTCCCGCGGTTGTCCCGCAGGTGTCCCAAAATCCTCCTGTGGCTGCGCCGCGGCCGGACCAAATGACTCTCCTCCGGCGGCCGGTGGCCCGCAGTGTCCCGCTGGTGTCGAGCTGGTGTCCCGTGGTGTCCGCCGCTGCTAGGGAGAAGTCAAGACGAATGATTCTCCCCCTCCCGCCCGTCCAGCGGTGGCTCGCGGTGTCCCGTGGTGTCCCGTTGAATGAGATCGATAGTGAGATCGATGATGAGATCGATAATGAGACCGATAGTGAGATCCGCATGGTGTCCCGTGTCCCGTGGTGTCCCAAAAAATGAGATCGCTGGTGATATTGATACTGAGATCGACAGGTGTCCCGTGGTGTCCCGGGGTGTCCCGTTGAGTGAGATCGATAGTGAGACCGATAGTGAGATCAATAGTGATATCGATAGTGAGATCGATGTGGTGTCCCGAGGGGTCCCGTGGTTTCCTATGGTGTCCCGTTGAGTGGGATCGATAGTGAGATCGATAAAGAGACCGATCGTGAGATCGATAGGTGTCCCACGGTGTCCCGTGGTGTCCAGCGGTGGCACGTGGTGTCCCGTGGTGTCCCGTTGAGTGAGATCGATAGTGAGATCTATAAAGAGATCGACAAGTGTCCCGTGGTGTCCCGTGGTGTCCCGTTGAGTGGAATCGATAGTGAGATCGATTGAATCAGATGTTGTTACCCCCCCTATCCCCCCCCTTCCACAACCTCCTTGTCACCCGAAGGGTGGTCGTATCGGAGGTTGGGGGGTGAGTCCAACGTGAAACGGAGACCCAAAGGGTGGTCGTAAAGGTATCCCTAGGTATCATTTTCACTCTATTGTAGATACCTCCTGCTCGCACGGGGCTTCTCCTCGGCCCCGGCCACGAGGAGGAAGAATAGGGAGGAGGATGTAGTTCACAAGATTCCCAGAGGATAACATGATCGGCAAGAGGGAGGGAGGGAGGAATGAAAGAGGAGGCGAGGAATGAGGGAGAGGGAAGGCCAAGCCAATCGGGCCATCCGGGGTTGGAGTGCGGGGCTTCTTGGACCACCTGGGCGGTCAGAAGCACAGTGCTGGGTTGTAGGCCAGAGTTCTGTCGGATGTCACTGGGGTCTCTTGGGGAGGCTCTCGGGTCCCTTGGGCAAAATTGTGAAGCGGCGCAGGGCCGGCCGCCTCTCGCCGTCGGAGCAGAGCAGCGGGTCGTCGCGCACCTCGCCGCGTCGCAGGCCCCGTGGATGAGGGGCCCCCCGTCCCCGCAGGCGACGCCCTCCTCTTGGATGGGGCCCGCCGTCCCCCTGGCGCAGGGGGCGCCCGCGATCTCGGGCCACTAGTCACTGCTGGCCCACGCCCTCGCGCTCGTCGCCGCCCGCCGTCGGTGCAGCGGAGGGGGCAGCACCAGCACTGGCTCCAGCACCGCTGCCCGCGCGAGGCCATTGGCCAGGTCGACCGCCTCGGTCGACGCCGCGACGCCTGCCGGCGGGAGGCCGCTCTCGGCCTGCTCCAGCGCGAGCTCGAGCGGGGCGCTCACCTCTGCGCCGTCGCAGGCGACCCGCTCGTCCTTGAGCCGGCGGGGGCAGGGCCAGCCCCCGGGGCCATCGAGGCCGCAAGCCGCTCGGCCAGGCCCTGCAGTGCCGCGCGCTGGGCCGCGCTGGCCCGCTGCCCCGTCGGCAGCGGTCGTGCCAGCACGCGGTAGCCTGCCTCCCAGTTGGTCGCGATCACGACCACGCCCAGCCTCTCCTGCAGTTCGCCTGGGCTCAGCTTCGTGTATTTGGCGAGGTCCACGACCTCGGGGGTCGGCGAGGGAAACAGCAGCAAATCACGTTGTGCCCGCCCATCACTAGTTAACCCACGCTGGCTGCGCACGAAAGAAATAGCAAACCTGCCCAGGCTGAGTGGGCAAAATCAAACCCCCACCCCCGATCCCGTCACCCAGGGCGCCCTCCAGCAAAACGCGCGCAGGTCTCCAAGTGGACCCGCGCACGGGCGGCGGAAGAGAGCGAGGAGAAGGAGGGAGGTGACGGAGGAGAGCGAGGAGGAGGGAGTGGGGAGGGAAAGAGAGGTAGGAGGGCATTACTTCCTAGATCGCCTACCCATCCCTATGCACCTACCCTCCTCCTCCTCCGCGTCCTCCTCCCGCCCCCCCCTCCCCCTCCTTCCCCCCCCCTCCTCCTTCCCCTCTTCCTCCCTGCGCCCGCCTCCGTTTTCCCGTGCTCCCTACCCCCGCCTCGTATGTGCTACTCCCGACCTCGTCCCCCCCCCTTCTACCTGCCCCCTACCCCCGCAATGGCGATGGCGACAGCGGCGACGGCGGTGAGAGGTGGAGGGAGGGAGGTGTGGAAATGGCGCTCCCGCCGCGAGACCAGTCGCCGCCCTCCACCGCGCGGGCGGCAGGGAAGCCAGAGGGATCGGGGTGCCCGACCACCGCGAGAGGAGGGGGGAGGGGCAGTGAGGGCGAACTGGGGCGAGGTGCGATTCGGCGGATGAGGAGAGCGAGGCAGGGAATGAGGGGCGGGCGAAGAGAGGAAGCCAGAGGGGCGGCATGGCAGCAAGGGGGGAAGAGGGAAGGCCAGGGGGGAGGGAGGGCAAGGAAGGAGGGAGAGTGGAGAAAAATGAGAGCAAGGAAGGAGGGGAGCGCGGAGATGGGGGGGAACGAAGGGGAGAGGTGAGGCGAGAGGCGGAGGAGGAGGGGCACCCCCATCCCGCCACGGCGCGCTCTCGGCGCGCTCTCGGCCTGGGCGCGGCGCGGCGCCTGGCCCGCAAGCTCAATTGATCTTGCGGCGCTTGCCACTCGGCGGCGGATCCTCCTCGACGCCGACGCCGACGACGTCGACGACGACGACGGCGACGTCGACGTCGACGTCGACCTCGACGTCGACGCGTCGTCGTCGTCGTCGGCGGTGGCGTCGACGGCGGGCGTCGTCGTCGTCGTCGTCGGCGCCGACGGCGACGTCCATGTCGGCGTCGGCGTCGTCGACGTCGTCGTCGGCGTCGTCGTCGGCATCGTCGACGCCGTCGCCGACGTCGACGTCGTCGTCGACGTCGCCAAAGTCGGCGTCGTCGTCGTCGTCGCCCTCGCTCGTCGTGGTCGTCGGCGTCGTCGCCGCCGTCGGCGTCGACGTCGTCGCCGCCGCCGTCGCCGTCGTCGGCGTCGTCGTCGTCGTCGTCGATGTCCTTGGGGGCGCTCGTCTGGGCTTGCAGCTTCCTCTTCTTGCGCGCCTCGGCCTGGTCGGAGAGCGCCCTGGCGATCTTGTCG